AATGTTGTTTTCTTTTGGGGAACGAGACTGGTTTAGTGCGAAGCGCTAGGAGGACAAGTCCTATTTCTGATGCTCCTCTGGCGAAACGCACGCCGTTTGAAGCTAGATTTCCTAGAATCAGAGGAGCGGTAGATGGGAGCGATCTGCAGTCACCTTGCTCTCCCGTGTGGTGGGACGGATTTGCTCTCGGAAAGCACACACCAGTTCAGCGTCAAGTGACTCACCGCGGTGGCTGGCTCGCTGTGAGACTGCGCCGGATTTCGCCCGTGGGGATGGCTGGGATTTCACGCTGATGCAATCCTGTCAGCGGGGATTTGCACTGCCTGACATTCACCTCACAAGCTGCTCAGCGGTTGCGTTTGTTTTCTTCTAGTGCCTTTTACCATCGGAAGGTCCAAAAGCACTTTAGCAGGCGAAGGGTTGGAGATGAGTCGCGCTGCGGTGGGTAGGGGATCCACCACCGCTCTTAGCTGGCCTCGCCCGGGAGAGCGTTGTCGCACACGGTGTGTGATGGACGCGCTGTTTCCCGCAGCGCGGCTGGCTCGCCAGGCTCCCAGGACGGTTTCTCAGGGTGCTCACCCAGAGCCGCATAGCATCATCGTTGAAAAGAAATGAATGTTTTACACTTCGGTTTGGAATAGATTGTATTTAACTTGGGTTTAAGTTTCTCTTGTGATGTAGAACTGTAATTCTCTGCGCCGTTTGGCTGTGCTGCCTGGGTGGATCTTTTGCGGCTGCTGTTGTGTGAAAGCACCCGAGCACGATGCGCACAATGCGTGCCTGCCTTGGAGAGAAGGTACATTAAATATTTTGTTATGCTGAAGTCTTGCTGCAGTTTGTTTATGCCTTTCCTCCCGGTGCATCGTACGCTCAGCTGGGTCCCACGGGGCTGCTGTGGCTCCTGGGTGCTCATCACCATCGGGCCGAGCCATCCCGTCCCCTCTGCGACGCGGGGTGACGCTTTGGGTGCTGCTGCTGAGAACCACATCGAGGGGGACCGATCGGCCGAGGGGGTTTGTGCAGCCCGGTCCCACCGCTGTGCCCGAGAGGGGCCGTCAGAGCGGCTGGGCCCGAGCCACGCGCCCGTGCTGTGGACCAGTCCGGGCGTTGTTTGCATCCAGCCAGGCCACACAGCGCGGCGGAAAATGTTCCCGAACTGCCCGTTCTGCCTTTCCCGAGGCTGTTTGGTGTCAGCAGCCTGGCCGCTCCGCTGTCCTCGACGTGCTGCCAAGGCTTTAACCCTGCGGGCTCTTCCCCTGCAAAATGGTGGGGACTCCAGAGAAAACACGTGCGGCACGTTACGCCGCGCTCGGCTCTCGTTGCAAGGATTTAGTGCATCGCCTCTTTCCTCATTTTATTATAATATCTTTTTTTTTCCCCTGTTGAT